TAAAGGATAGCCCCAGCTCCTCTACCACACACACAGTCACCTATCAATATCCCCAGATATCTTCCCCACTTCTATTCTCACAGCTGTCACTTATTCATTCTTGGTTTGGACAGATGCCACCCAGCTGGTGGTGTGGACAAACAGCACGGGATGGGGTGACTGCTGCATCTTGGCATTCCCTACAAAAACCAAGAACTAGACTCAACTGTTCGAACTGAACTGGGAAGTCTAAAATTTCCACCTGTTCCCCTGCCTGCTGTTAAGTACCATTTGAAGGGCCTAGAAATTGTAAAGGTGTTAACTTGTCTCTCTGGAAGAACATTGTGACTTTCACCTTTCATAAGAGATTTTGGTGTTTAAGAAAGTGCCACACATAGCTCATGTAGACTTCAGGTGACTATGGGGATCTCTCCAAAATGATTTTTCCTTGGTTATCCAGGAAAACTTTCTGGAGAGATAACTAATTTGATAATCAAGTACAACCTGAGGGCCTGTGACCCTTCAATGAGAATCATCCAATTAGAAAAGTTGGTATGAAGTTTGTGCCCATCTTTAGCCAGTGATCTATGATAACATCTCAGTCCTGGAAGCATTCCAGTCCACTTGAATTCACTAGCCATGGTTGTTGTGGATGACACATTGTCCTAGACTTCCTCCTTGTGGGCCAACGTGGAGTCTGTGTAATTGCTCATGCATTCTACAATGCCTGGACTAAAGCTTCAAGACATAGTGGGTCAACAGAGAACCTTAAGGAGGAGGACAGCTGGCCTCCTAAGTTACTCCCTTAATGGTCTGTGGGATTTTTCCAGCTGGATGGAACCAGGACCCTGCAGGTCATGGTTGAGATTAGTACTGCAGGCTAGCCTAATTCTGGTGCGTTGAGTCCTGTTCATAGCAGTCTTAATTTAATGCTGTATAAAAACAAATTGAACTGATTTGGGTGCAGTTTAATGGAAGAACTTAAATATGAGAGAACATATGCATGGGTCAGCACCATACCTTCATTATAGGAATATGCTAAGGGTGCACATTCTCTTCAGAAGAGTTTATACAAGTACACCCATAGAAACACACTTCTAAAGGGTACATTAGAAAGTAGAATCAAAATATACATAACAGCATATTTGTTCTCTGTAAATACAGTTCTAACTCTTCCTGTATGAAAATTACTCAGTCACAGTCTGTTGAACCAGCTGTCGTAGTAATCATATAATCTATTCTTGAAATGTTTGCATGCTTTTGGTATTTTCTTGAAATTTTTGCATGACTCTGGCAATTCTGTTCCCTTACATATCAAGAAGTTCTTATTATACAATGAAGACTTATTGTTTAAAATATATTCTGGGTAATAACATCTAGACATTTTCTTTTACATATTAAAGTACCGTAAATTCTCAGTTACAACCTTCATATTTGCTTCATATCTTCTTCAGTTCATTTCGTTATCTCAGTACTTCAATTAAAATACTCAATGTCCTCTAAAGAATACATTTAATTTCCTTACTACTGATAATCTTTTCCCACTCAGTCTTTGGAAAAAAAAAATGCTATCAATAAACATCCTACATCTCTTTAAGGATTACAAAAGTAATAAAACTTACTATAAAAATCCAAACAGAAGAAAGATATTGTAAAAAGTAAAAAGTCTCCCTTTACTTACCTTCTAACCTGTCTATAAAAATCCAAACAGAAGAAAGATATTGTAAAAAGTAAAAAGTCTCCCTTTACTTACCTCCTAACCTGTCTTTCCTCCTTTCCAAAATTCCAGGTCCCCCAAATATAAACATATAATTTACTACAATACATGATCTATGCTTTCTTCTTGCTGCAATTTCTCCTCTCCCACGTAAGAAAACATCAAGGTTATTTCAACTCCTCTCCTTAGGAAATGTTTATATGGGCAAAGCAACAGAAAAGTTTTGGGGTGGGGCATGAGAATGGCTGAGTGGTTTCCTTAGGAGGATAAAATCTTAAACTCTGGAGTTCCCAGCCTTAGCAATGACTTTTCAGGCTCAAATATCTGGCTTTAGGAGGCCATACACAAACGGACAATAGGCATCTCAAGAAGAATGCATGGAGACTGGGTACTGCAGGGGCTCTCCCGAGTACACTGCCCTGTGCAAGGGGCCCAGACTGCAAGATCTGGAACAAGATGAAAGAGCTCATGATATCTGAGACTGAATATCCCATCAGCTGAATGAAGATCACCTATATAAAAGACTTAGATGTATCTTCATGTATAACCCAGTCTGTGGAGAAAGATTTATAACCATCACATACATACACATCCCTGCACCTCCAGTGAGACAAAACTAGCAATAACTTGAATTTGTTTAACTTTACTTTTTATTAAAGGCTTTCACGAATACTATATGACTGTATCCTCACATGGCAATTTCACAAAAGAGCATACCATAGCAGAGGTTGAGATTTATCCCAATATACATGATTTCTAAGTGAAAGAATAAGTATTCATAAAATACCTGGATTTCTTTCTCTACTATATTTGGTATGTGTACACTGAATACTTCATAGGCCTGACACCTTCATGTACGACACATGTATATATGATACTCTTTGGGCAAACTGCAGCCATAAAAATTTTAAACATGAGTGACATAGTGTATATTTAAGCAAAACATTTAACTTCCGGAAGTTGACGGCCATTAAAAGCTTAAGGTAATTAAAACACTGCATGAACTAAGTCTTCTCTGAAGGGATTTTGGATTTTATTAGTTAAATTCTTAGTCCCTCCCTCTTCAAACTTAGAGCTTGTAACTTTACATAAAAGAGGAATGAAAGGACTTTCACTTTTGACCAAGATGACCAAGATGGAGTAAAATGGACCAGATTTATTCTTCAACCTGAGATAACTAGAAAGCTGGACTAGACATATGTTTTCAGATATTGGACACTGGCAGCACAGAACAGTCATTCCTTAAGAAGGGGAAACAAATGAGGCAGAAACTATGTTCGAGGATTGGAAGACTCAACAAAGTAAGAATGTCAATTCTCCCCAAATTGAAATAACATAATTCCTATTAAAATTCCAGCAAGATTTTCTTTTTTGTAAATACAGACAAGCTTGTTTAAAATTTATATAGAAAGAAAAGAAACAAAAACTGCTAAAACAATTTTTAAAAAGAAGAGAGGACTCACTCTACCTGATTTCTAGATTTACATAACGATAATAATTATGACTGTGTGGTACTGCTGAAGGATGGACACATAAATCAATGGAACAGAAGACAGAACCTAGAACCAGCCCCACATAAGTAAGAGTCAGTTGATTTTTGACAAAGGTGCAAAAATACTTCAATGGAGGAATGATAGTTTTTTCACCAAACAGTGCTGGGACACTATTAATAAGCATATAAAAATTGATTAACATCATTAATCATTATGAAAACACAAACTAAATAACAATGCAATACTACTATATACACCTACTAGAATAAATAAAATTAAGACTAGTCCTGTGGAGTGTGGTGAGGATCCAGAGCAACTAGAGCTCCTGTGCACTGCTGGCTGGAGTGTAAAATGATACAACTACTTTGGAAAACACATGGACAGTTTCTTGTAAAGTTACGCATATACTGTACCCACAGTATAACTCAGCCATTCCACTCCTACTTAACTGAAGAGAAATGACAACACAAGTGTATGCAGAGACTTTTACATGAATATTCATGGAAGCTTTATTTATAACAGCCCCATCGTGGAAACAACCTAAATATCTATCAAAGGTGAAGGGATAAACAAACTGTGGTATATCCATACAATGGACTACTACTTAGAAATAAAACAAGTGAACTATTCATACATGCAACATAGATAAATCTCAAAATAATTCTGTTGAATGAAAGCAAGTAGATATTGTAATGATTCCATTTATACAAAATGGGGATGATGCATATTCTACCAAACTTAAAAAACTGTTGTGAGGATCAAATAAGAGAAACTCAGACTATGTATGCATGAGATATTACCAACCAATAAATTACACAAATACAAACTGTTATTGAGAGCATTTGTAATGATGTAATATAATTTCACTTTTCAGTTATTATCTGACAAAGTATTCTTGGAACCAGACCATGACCGTCCTTATAGCTAATATTTACTGAGTGCTTATCACATAATGCTTTTTGGCTATTTATCTTATTTAAACCTCAACCACAACTCCATGGGATAGGTATTATTACTATCATTTTAAGAAGAAACTGAGATGTAGAGTAGAGCAGTGATTTGACCTAATGGAAAGAGAGCTCCACTGAGAATCAGAAGAACTGGATTCCAGTCTTAGCTCTCGGGGCTCTGGGAAAACTTTTAACCCTTTCATCTCTTATCAAATACCAATAATAAAAATGCAGATTATTTCATAAAGGTCTCATGAGGATCAAGTGAGACAACATGAAACCACTTTTTAAAGTTGTAGTATTAATGTTATTCTGTTGAAATCTACATAAACACATAATTTTGGAAAGGTAATTTAAAGAGGTAGAAGAGATAACACCATGCTAAGTCCTTTCATGTCTTCTCATTGCCAGTTTATATATTTATGCTAGTTTAAAATAATTTATTTTTTCTAATTTAAATGCTTAAGTGTTTACCATAAACATTAATTTAGAAAAATATCTGTGCATTATTTTTCAGATACATTTTTATACATATTTGAAGACCAAAGTATTTAAACAATATAGAAAAAATAAAGTATTTTAAACTAGCATAAATATATAAAGTAGCAATGAGAAAACATAAAAGAACTTAGAAACTGGTAAAGGGCCACAAAATAATGACTACATTGTATAATGATAAATATAGTAATTAACCTAACTTGAGCATCACATATTACACACAGGAATTGATATTCAATGCTGTACCCCATAGATATGTACCATAAATTATGTTTCAATAAAAAATAATTGTTACCTTAATAAGATTATATTATTCCCTCTGGTGCCAAGCATTTTAATAATTAATAAATATGTAAGTCAATAAATATTTCATAATATTTTAATTATCATTATAATTTGGAAATAAAAAACAATTTTCAGACATTATGTGCAGATAAACAAATCAATCTTGGTTCATTCATTCTGCCTTTCCATTTCTCCTGGCAGCTTTGTAAGAATCCATGTCTTCAGTTGTTCTAGCTCAGTTTTGCTTAACTCATGGTAAACATTTGGAAAACTATGGAACTTCGTGCTTACTCCAAGAGATTTTAACATTGAGTTTGTCTCTTCACCCCAAGAATGAAGAACTAACTCATCTGTAGTACCATGACACTGAAATAATTCAGGAAGTACACCATCACTTTTCTGAAGAGCCTACAGAAAAAGATATAAAAATGGGAAAATATTAAAGATTTCATTTTAAGAAGATCATTCTTAGAAATCAGAAAGAGTAGAAAAATTCCAATTTTACCAGAGCTTCAATAACTAAAGGGAAAAAAAGAGGCAGAGGTAGTGCTGTCTGAGGTCTACGATGGGCCAGGCCTGAGGGCTCAGCGGGTAGCCGGCACCACTTGAGCTGTGGTTCTATGTGATCTCCATTTATTCTAAACAGGACTGCCTCAAAAACAGCCAAAGCATTTCCTTGAAGAAACCGAGTGCTTGGAAGGAGGGAGGGGTGCAGAGCTAAGGTGCATTAAAGAAGAAAATTGCATTCTAGTTCTCATGTCTATATTTATCATTTCATACTTTTGGTAATGAAACTGCAACACTATAAGGTATCATATTCATAAACTGGAATATTGCTGCAAAATAAGTATCAACTATGTAATTGATTTTTTGTTTTATGTTCCTCACATAATAAGCAAACCTGGCAATAATCATCTATATTTTTAATATGTATAAAGGATACACACACACACATACAAGGGGTCTTCCAAAGTTCATGGGAAGATTCGTATTACCTTTTAATTCTATTTTTCCATGACCTTTTTGAAGTACCCTGGTGTGTGTGTGTGTGTGTGCGTGCGTGCGTGCATGTGTGTGTGTGTGCACGCATGCGCATGTGTGTGTCCTCTTCTCCTTGATAATTTGCTTTATAATATTCTTTGTAAAGGGCATTCTCTGAACATTAATGATCAGTGGGGATAAATCAATATGACTCATTTGGCCATGAATTCCCAGGAATGCTCAATTTATACCAATTGTGCAAAAACTGTACATCAACTTTTGTTGTTTAATTATGAATATTGTTTTAATTTCAATGTGTGTATGTCTCACATATTTTTCAGTTTTGTTTTGTTTTGTTTTTAAAATCTATAACTTACCTGGTAAACAGCAGATGCTTTATTCAGAAAACTAGAAAGAGCAAATACTCCTGCCACATCTTGATGGTTTCTATATGCTAAATGTATTGCCATGCATCCTCCCATAGAAAATCCTCCTAAATGGAGCAAAGCACACTTACTGGAAAAAGCAAAATACATGCAGCAATTTAGCACAAGATGTTTCTATGCCAATCTTCCATAAATATTTTTTTTAAATATGGAGACCTTTCGTGAGATATAGTGTTAAAAAGAAACTTAGTCCAGTTTAAGTCTCACAGAAAAAGATTTGCTATGAGTGAATCACACTGTTCCATCTACATCATTGCCGGTAAAGAGATTCGTGTTATCAAAGGAGCAGGAATTGAATAAAGAAATCATGTTCACCAGTACAAATATTTACCATAATTCAAAATATGAGTCACAGTATAATCATTATTAACTTAATCTTCAAATGTCCACTTACATTGTTTATACTTACAGGAACCCTCACACTGCAACTACAATTAATAACACACACCTTTGGTATCATCTGCCATCACCTGTGATTTCCACAAGGAATTACGTTTCCAGTGTCTGCTATGTAACAGATGCTTAGTGATCTTTGAATCAGGAAGGAGGATCAAAAACTTGGTGAGGCAGTTAAAACATTTTGGGTTTACAGTATTATCTTGGAAACTGGCTTATGATGGTATAATAAAAATAAAACATAAGTACTTTTTAAAGACAGAATTTGAAAAAAATCATTTATTCATTTGACAAACTCTTATTGTCTTTTATGTGTCAAACACCGTGCTAGTCACTGACATATGCAGATTAAAAATATGTACCCTCCCATTCAGAGGGACTTTGAGGAGAAAACAGATGCATCACAGAACACAGAGATAGGAGCATGACGTGACAGCAGCAGTGAGGGTGGCAATCCCAAACCTGACTACATATCAGAGACCCGGTATGACATTCCCAAGCCTGAGTGAAAGTTAAAAGACATCTCATTTATACTTCATGAGAAAATAAATACAGAAAGTAAATCACATAGCCACACGCTCATGGCAATACGAAAATATACTTTAGTGAGGAATTCAGATCTCATTTCTAGCCTGTACTTTATTTCACTTAACAAAGTAAAGCTGAGTCCTTAGAGACCATGAACTTGAATTTACTACAACATTCTTCGTTTATACATGAAGAGATATGAGGCCCAGGGAGATGAGGTTGTACCCCTAATTTCAGGACTAGAGATAGGACTCTTGTTTTTTTTCTCCCCTGTGATATTTAACTTCCTTTTTCTTTTTAAAAATTTTTAATTTTATTGAAAAATAATTGATTACACATATTTGTGGGGTAGAGTTGAATATCAACACCTGTGTACAATGTGTGACCAAATTAGGATAATTAGCATATTCATCATTACAAAAAGTAATCATTCCTTTTGTCCATTAACCAATTTCTCAATACTCATACCCCCTAACGCCCTGCCAAGGACTTTCAGAATCCAGGTCTCTTGTAACAGCGCTTAATGTGCTTTCTACCATCCCCTGATATTTGTTAAAATAGGACTACTTAATTGGGGGCAGGCAGATAATATTATTTTGGATCCAGGACATAAATATATGAGAGAGAACTATTACCCTTGCAAAGTTTAGATTTTTAAAACGGCATAATATGTAAATGATGACAATGCATGGTAAGTATTATATCTGTGGTTTTCAACATATCAGAAATAACAAGGTCTCATTAGTAGCAGTAGTTCACCATGGATGAGAACTACCTGAAAGATTCTTTCCAAATACAACCCCCAGAACCCCCTAAAGCAGATACCTCTAATTAGAAGTTCATGAATGAGCTTGGTGAGGGAGGAGGGAGCATAAACACCTTAAAACTGTACGTAAAACTAGTATAGGGACATCAGATTCCCTAAAAGGTTAAAAACAGCTGGACTACGTTATCCATGAATTTGCACATTGATAAATCTGTTCCATTTGAATATGAAGGGCTTATCTAAGGTAGACAAGATCAGTATTTCTGGTAGTGAAACATTCATCAGAAGTATGCAGAAAGAATTCTAATCTTTATTGTTTTCTGCCACAATTCTAATTATACGCTTCTCTTTGTTTCTGAAGTTTTTCTGTGTAGTAACATTATCAGGTTATAAAGCAAACACATTTCAAAATAAAATCCTTATCAAGTTTTAATTTATTGAATATAAATGAGCTCTCTAAATTTTGAAATCGTTAAGGCTAGGAAGCAATTTTCTTCAATCATGGAATTTTGATTGAGTGCTTACAATTAGTTGAACAAAGTGTCTCTGCCTTGGTGCACACATGCTAATGAGCTGGCTTCATCTTTATATGCTTAGTGGTGAGCACAGTACCTGTCACATAGCACAACTCAATAAAAGTTTGTTTAAGTCAATTTTTAGAAACAATATATTATAGGATGCCTTGGATTGAATGTCCCCCCAAAACTTGATCCCCACTGTGACAATGTTAATAGGCCTTGAAGAGGTGATTTGATTCTGAAGACCATGCCCTAATGAATGGATTAATAATGGTGGTCAGGGGCATGGTTCTGAGGGCTTTAAAAGGAGAGCACATGAGAGTCTCTCTCTCTGCTCTGCCATTTTCTGCCATGTGAGACCCTTGCGTTGCTGTAAAGCCACCGCCAAAGAAGACCCTCGCCAGATGTATTTCCTGGACTTTGGACCTCCCAGCCTCAGAAACTGTAAGCAATAAATTTTGTTTTCTTATAAATCATCCAGTTCCAGGTGTTTATGTTATAAGCAACAGAAACGGACTAACACATAGGATAAAAGTAATAAAAAATTTACAAACATGTCTTAAATTTATCATAAAGACACACAAAAGGTTTTCAAATTTAAAGCTGGGTGGAAAGAGGAGGATTAGGCTAAAAATTAGGAAACTTGAGTTCTAGTTCTGCCTGTGACACACCCTAGCTGAATATCTTTGTGTAAATTATTTCAAATCCAGGATTTCATTTCTAGTAAAATTAGATAGCTGGACTAGATGATCTCTAGGTTTTCCATCAAGCTTTTAAATACAAAAGCTTAAAAATCAGTTGTAAACACTGAAATCACAAAGGCTTTCAAAGTTTACAGAGTTATTGTAAATACAGAAACTCACTTTCAGTTTAGGAGAAAAAAACCTATCTCTCAGAACACAATTCTAGCTTTATTAAAAGTTCAAAGAATCAATCTTAGCATATGCTCACTTCCTTCACTTCTTCTAATATCCCCTCTGTTCCTTACAGTCATTTACTTACAAAATGAATTCTAGGTTGCTTATAATCAAATACACCATTGACAATAAAACCACATCTTTAAAATGAGAGGCAGGGAACATAAGAAACGGAAAGGTAGGATTTGGGGGAAGGGTGGGAGAGAGAACAAAAGAAAAAGAGACTCACAGACTATATTAGGGATAGAGGGACAGTAACTAAGGGTGCAACTGGGCATTCTTCAACAGAAAGAATCATTAACAAATCATACTAGGAACTTTTCCTAGCACTGACTTCCTTGGTGGACTTTATTAAGTGTATCTTTATTAAATATAAAACTCAAAATCAGACATTCTACCTACAGTCACTTCTGCTACTGACTCTTTAATAAAAGTCTAGGACATAAACATTTAACATTCACTAGAATATAAAAATCATGGGAGCAGGATTTTGGCTATTTTATTCACCAATGTATCGCCCTACGCTTAGGACACTGTCTGGCACATGGAAGATGCTTAATAAATATTTATTGAGTAAATGAACTCAATGTAAACTGTAGTTCAATAAGGATACTTCTGCAAGGTGAAAATTTATCATCAGGAAATGTAACTTTTTGGTGATTTAATTTGACATATAAGTAAAGCTTAGAAAATCTAGAAATGAATGATTAGTGTGCCCCAGGCCAATCACTCCTAATCTGGCTTCTTAAAGATTTTAGACTCATTTTCAGACCCACTATCAAAATCATGTCTAATTTTTAAAAGCTCTTATGCCATAAATCAGATGTTCTAGAATCACAGCTATGAGGCAAACAATTCAAAATGAAGTATAAAGAGTAAGAACAAAAAGTGCAAGTATGGTTATGATTTTAAAGAAATCCATATGCTATAGATACCAAGGCTGCAGGAGGAAAATTGTTATTTTTCTGAGAAATTCAAGAGCTTGATTTATGTTTTTGCCAAATGTAGCTAATAAATATCTGAAATACGACTAGTGTGACTGAGGAATTAAATTTTAAATTTTATTTAATTTTATCTTGCTTAAATTTGAATTTATACAGCCACATGTAGCTGGCAGCCACCATACTGGACAATGAAGTTCTAGATCATCTAAGCTGTACCAGTGACTGTAAAAAGCTTTAAAATTCACATATGGAGTGAAAATAAAGTTAACATTTAATAAAAAGACAATTTTGAGGCTAAGAATCACTAAAAGATAAAGTGTAAATAAAAAAGGTTAATAGGAAAAAAGTTGCACTAGAGAATGATTTAAAAAGCATACCTATCAAGAAAATTTTATACACTAAGTGCCCCCAACACTTCATTTTTATTGACTAGTGAAATCTAATCACCTTCTGTGGTGTCAGTGCCCTCTTGATGGGACCAGCCCAACTATTAAAAAAAAAAGACAGAAAGAAAAACAAAACATTTATCAACACAGATGGGATGTCCTTACGAACACAAACAAATGCATTCTGCAGACATTTAACCTCACGTTCAATTCTCATAAGATACAATGAAAAAAAGTACTTATTGAAATCATACTATTTTAAGATTTAATCTAAGTCCCTGACCCTTTTATAATCTTATGAGGTAATCTGCAATTCTCCACTAGCCGTCTTTGACAATACAATCACCTTGAGCATGGGACCTACTGTGAAAAGGGACTTTGTGCATTTTTTCCTCATAGAATAAAATTTAACACAAAGGACCAGTTATTTAAATTTAATTTTCCATCTAAAAGCCTAAAACCTAATATAAAATACACCGTTCAATAAGTAAATACCAAATAGTAAATTCATTGTAGGTAATGGTTATAATGGATATTTATAGTTGCTGGTAAAGTATTTAAAATGTCAAGAGTTAACATTTCAACATACATTTAAGATTAACAAGCCGAATAAAA